CACAGCTTGAAGTCAGGGATAGAGATACCTCCAAAAGATATTTTATTGTATAGGATTGTTTTAGCTATTCTGTTTTATGTTTTTGTTTTTGTCTTTCTATACAAAGTTCTATACTTTGTTCTTTCAAAGTCTGTAAAGAACTGTATTGGTATTTTAATGGGGATTTCATTGAATATGTAGATTGCCTTTGGTAAGAAGGCCATTTTTACTATATTAATCCTACCGATCTTTCATCTTCTGGAATCTTCTTCAATTTCTTTCTTCAGAGAATTGAAGTTCTTGTCATACAGGTCTTTGACTTGCTTGGTTAGAGTTACACCAAGATACTTTATATTATTTGTGGCTATTGTGAAGGGTATAGTTTCCCTAATTTCTGTCTCAGCCCATTTGTGTTTTGTGTACGGGAGGGCTACTGATTTTTTTTTTCTTATACAGCCACTTTGCTGAAGCTGTTTATTAGCTGTAGGAGTTCTCTGGTAGAAATTTTGGGGTTGCTTATATATACAGTATCATATCATCTACAAATAGCAATACTTTGAGTACTTCCTCTTCAATATGTATGCCCTTTATCTCCTTTAGTGTCTTATTGCTCTAGCTAGAACTTCAAGTACCATATTAAACAGGTAGGGAAAGAGTGGGCAGCCTTGTCTTGTTCCTGATTTTAGTGGAGTGGCTTTGAGTTTTTCTCCATTTAATTTGATGTTGGCAATTGTCTTGCTGTATCTAAACATAATAATGTTTACATATGGACCTTGTATCCCTGATATCTCTAAGAATTTCATTGGGACATTCTATTGCAGCAATAGAAGTAAACTAATATGAATATTGCTCTCTGAATGACCATACTTATTAAAAAAGGTCCAGTGAGACTGACTGGATCATTGATTGGTTGGCTGGTTGGTTGATTAATTAGGACTTCAATGATATGGACAAATTGATCTGAGGCCTAAAGCATAAGTTTTCTCACTTTGCCATAATCCAGCTATCTGATTTTTCAACCAACATATTTGTAAAGCATATTGCTTTAAGAGTTGGTGTATTGATTGAAGAGTTGGTTATGTTACAGAAAAACTTCATGAAATTGCTACCCCTTCAGAACACAGTATTTAGTCCAAGCTGGATCTGTGCTCCTGGACCATGTTCACTCATATTCGATTTCAGAGTAACCATTTCTTTTTATTTTAGAGATAAGAACTATGTTGGCATGCGCAGTTCATAGAGTAGCTCAGGAGAATCTCTTCTAAAGAGATTCCATTTCAGAATGACAGAAGTAATGGTAACTCTTGGGCTCTGATGATAAAATATCTACTCAGGTTGAGTAAAGGACCCTGAACCAAGAAACCAAGAAATGCAAGTTCCAATACTTTATACCAAAGAACACACATAAATACCCATTTTGTTAAATAAGAGCTAAGAATTATGTAAAAGTACCAAAAGATTTGTATCCACCACCACCAATGTTTTAGTGACTCATGACATCCAATCAAGAAAGACTCATCACTGTTTAGATTCAATATGATGCAGAGATGTAATGCTAGGAGGCCAGGCTTCTGGGCAGTATGTGAGTTTATGGAGAAAGAAGGAATTAAAAGCATAGTTGCTGGATTGTAACTTGGCCCCCAAGGGAAAGACAACCAGGAGAATTTCTCTTTCTTTTTTTTTTTTCAGACCAATGTCTACAGGGAAATTGTGTGGTTAGAGAATAATGTAAGCAGAGGAGAGTATGTCTAATGAACACATATAGGAGGCTGAAAATGCCTCCTCTGATGACCCTTAGATTGAGCAGCACTGGGCTAGACAACATATCTTTTGGTGTCTTAAGTCTCAATCAAACCCCTGACTCCTTCCTACTCTCCTGTGTGAGGCAGAGCTTCAGTTTCCATCCTCAGCCAACTAAGGAAGACCTTGACCTTCCGAGGGAGACCTTCTTCCACAGCCGCAGGTCCAGGTGAGAGCTCAGTAGCTCCTGCAGGGAGGTTAAGAGAATAGAACCCAACAATATTTACTCAACATCAGCTGAGAATCAGGCCCCTAGCCCAGAGTGGACTTGCTGTCATTGCTTGCTTTGTGATTTATCAGTTATTTAAAATATGTCATTAATTCAGTATTATCAATTTGCTCATTATTTTGTATGTGTTTCTAATATTAAAATGAGAAATAAATGTTGAACTGATCAGCACCAGGTTCATGGCTTAAAATGCTTTCAGTAAAAAATTTAATTCTGAGGATCTTTTCAGCTACAGGGAGTTGATAAGCAGGGTATTAGTTATGGAGAGAAATGTTATTCTGTTTAAGATGAGACATACTCAACCATGTTTATATTGAGAAGAATGCAGAGAAATGAATTCTTGAAAATCTTACTAGCAATAGAAAAGGTCCTGATGTGCTTTTCAGAGTGTTTTACCCTTTCCTCTGGGTATGGGAACTTTTACGTGAGTAAATGTATACCTATGAGCCATAGTTCGTAATCATTTCAGTACCTTAACACTGTGCACATGTATGTTCATTAGTCATTTCCTTTCTGTGGTGCAGGAGTCTGACAACATCTTTGTCTTGTATACTGAGGCAGGGCACTTTTAATCCTTGTTTCCAATGCTTTCTCTCAAAGAAAGTATTACTCTATTTTGCCTTCACAAACTACCTTTTTGCCTTATAGTGTAATGTGTGTATACCCCTGTGTCCATTTTATACCTATTTATCACTCTTTTCATATAAATGTGCATATATGTTTATTTTAATGAGTCATGGAAGTTAGTAAAACTTAGCCCTGAGCTCCTTTGTCCATGAGAAGCTTTAAAAATGAAAATTATGGAGTACTACAGTAGAGAAAAAGGGCAGGTCCTTCTCTCCTTCTGTCATCTGGGTTGATCCCTTGCTATTGGCCTCAGATTATCAGACTTGGTGGTCTGTGCTTAGATCATCTTCTCTGCCAGCCATGTCTGGGCATCTATGAGAAGCAAATCCCTAGCAGCAAAGGCTCAGGGGCCATGTTGGAGTTAGTGGCAGTTCGTACATGCATAGTTCTCAGAGCAGGGATTTCCTGGATCCATGTACTCCAACTTGAGTCTTATAATAAAGAGTGATAGCTAATTTAATTTAATCATAGTAGGCAAGGTAAACACATTGCTCAGTGGATGTTTTTACACCAAAATTATACCAAGCAATAAGCACATACTGTGATGAGGGCCACCCTCATGTCTCTGTCCAAGCTGGGAAACCTCCTCGTTTCTCAACTTTCTGTGATGTCAATTATTACCACTTCTATTTCTCTTTGACCTCACACTAGCTCCTGTATAGCCATGAACATCCAAAAGAATCACCTACTTCAGGGGCTTTCTTCAAGTTATTCCTCTGACAGCTGAACATTTTGAGAAAATATCCTAGGGGAGGTCCTCCTCCCCTAGCCTATCAGGTCTCATCAGGACTGGCTGCATTGTTTTCCTCTGTGGCCTGGTAAGGCTGCTCCTCCCTCAGGGTGGGGGGAAATGTCTTAATTCTAACATGTCTTCCTCCTTGTTATCATCATCGTTCTTAACATCATCATCATAATCATAATTATTGTCATTACTTCCTGTTCATAATTACTATCTACACTCTGTAAAATATGATGGGTTTTATTATGTTGCTTTTATATAACATATAATTTCTGAGTCATTTTAACCATTTATTTATTTACTTTGTGTGTAGAGGGTTAGATAGATGGCTCTGTCACTGAAGGCTAGGTTCACAACCAAAACTATTTTGTGTCTGCAAATGATCACAGGAAACAGAAGACAGTGTGAGGGGGTATTTCTCTCCTATTGTGTGGGTTGAGGCCTTGCTATTGGACTCAGATTCTCAGGCTTGGTGGTCTCTGGTTAGATCATCCTCTCTGCCAGCAATACCTGAGCATATCTAAAAATTAGTATTTCTGGGTGATGATGATACTGATTATTGAGAGTGTGCTCTGTATGTCTATAAAATTATATCACACAAATTCTTGAATGCTCACTCCCTTATACACACATTTCTTCATAACATCTTTACCATCTTTTACTTATTTTAAAAGAATTTTACTGAGGTATAACTACTTTTTACAAAGACCAGAAATATTTAATGCATATAATTCAGCTAGTTTGTCTATATGAAAATATGTGTTTATACATAAAATTATATACAGTTAATTTCTTTATGTGGCTGTGAAGCTATGTCCTGTGATGTTTTGCTCGAAGCTGTTTTGTGAGAGGGCATGTGATGTTTTGCCGTGATCTGTCTCATCCTAGGAGCATGACTTTGGCCAACTGAGAACATCTGTGGGTGGGTGGACTTTGAGAAGAGGAGATATATAGAGGCTCACAGATAGTGAGACAACACTTTTTGGATTGACATCACTGAGCAGAGAGAAATGTTCCAGAGAACTTCATAGGGCAATCCAACTTAGTCTTGCGGCTTTCACTGACTTGTCCCAATATGCTGAATTGTGCTGATTTGTATTGCTGTTTGGTGTTGGCATTTGGACTGGACAACAAAGAGTAGATTCGCTCCAATGAACTACTTCTAAAAAGGTCTACAACTCCTTTTTCCTAATAACCTTCTTTCTCCTCTGCCTCTTGTCAGTGGGTTGGAAGAGAGGTAGAAGCATTTAAGAACCCTAAATAAAGTAGTTTTGTTAAAAAAAAAAAAACTAAGCCTACAATGGATGTCTTTGTGTGTCCTTAACGTGCGTGAACTTCTGTTTCTTAGCAGCCTCTGATCACTGGGGAGTAAACGCCTGGAACAGGCTCAAACATATTACTCGACTTTAAGAAATAATTTCTAACTAAATCTGTGGTATGTATAAACTCTTGGGGGAATAACTCAGTGTAAAACAAGGATTCTTAAACAGTAATAGCACTAGAGATACTCTGTAAGGTAGTAAACCCATGGATTAAATTAAGAAACTTGTTTACAGTAGAATACAAATTATATTGTTTATCCCTTTCAGCAATGTCATTTTTATGAATATTTCTCATGTTATTTTTTGTCATAGTGATATACCACATATGGAGCCAAGAAACAATACACACCTTTTAGAATTTGTTCTATTGGGATTTTCACAGGACCCAGACCTGCAGCCTGTTACATGTGGCCTCTTTCTCTCCATGTACTTGATCACCGTTGTTGGAAATTTGCTCATTATCCTGACCATCATCGCAGATGCCAGCTTGCACACACCCATGTACTTCTTTCTCTCTAACCTGTCATTTGTAGATATCTGTTTTACCTCCACCACTGTCCCAAAGATGCTTGTGAACATTCAGACAAAGAGAGAAACCATTAGCTATGCGGATTGCATTACCCAGATGTACTTTTTTCTGATTTTTGTGGAACTGGATAACTTTCTCCTGGCTGTGATGGCCTATGACCGTTATGTGGCCATCTGTCACCCCCTGCATTACACGATCATCATGAATCACAGACTTTGTAGATTTCTGGTTCTTGTATGCTGGATTGTGAGTGTTCTGCATGCCTTGTTACAAAGCATGATGGTGTCACAGCTGTCTTTCTGCACAGACTTGGAAATCCCACACTTCTTCTGTGAATTGAATCAAGTGGCCCAGCTTGCCTGTTCTGACACCTTCATTAATGATGTGGTCATGTATTTTGCACTTGTGGTATTGGCTATTGTTCCTCTCTCTGGCATCCTCTACTCCTACTACAAGATAGTGTCCTCCATACGTGCAATGTCCACAGCTCAGGGGAAGTACAAAGCATTTTCCACCTGTGCATCTCACCTGTCGGTGGTCTCCTCATTTTACTGCACAGGTCTAGGAGTGTACCTCAGTTCTGCTGCAAGCCACAGCTCACAAGCAAGTGCAACAGCCTCTGTGATGTATACAGTGGTCACTCCTATGCTGAACCCCTTCATCTACAGCCTGAGGAATAAAGATGTAAAAGGATCTCTGAAGAGACTCTTAGTGGGGAAACTATGAGTAGCCTCTTAGCCCTGGGATTGGAAAACTTACCTTTATTGCAGCCATCAAAGATTCAAAGCCAGAAGCTTGGTTTTTACAATTAGATGGTAGAAGCAGAATACGTTTTATTTCTTTTCTGGAGTTTGCGTTACCTGAGTTCAAACTTACTCCTCTCTGAGAACCTTTATTACGTGTTCTCCTGTGTCAGCATTTGTTCCATTCACTCTCACAACTTTTCAGTTCTTTCAAACTCCAGACCAGAAATATTTGTAAATGCATTTCTCTCACATGAAGCTTGGATTTTAAGATATATGTCAATATATCTTAAACACAATTTCTTCTAACATGACATACATTAAGTTCACAAATATTTATTTTGTTTTACATAAAGATACCTATGAGTTTACTGTATATTAATAAAAAATACATCTAGTAATTGATGAAATTTATATGCTTGTGGAGTTAAGTCTGAGAACATAGCTCTCTTCTGCAGGTCACATTTTGTATGCAACTACAGTGACTATTTTTTTGTAATGCGGCCTTTAATGTATTAGTGTGCTTTATAATTAAAGATTGTAGCCTTTAACAGTCTATTCATTTTATTTTTTATCGACACATAGTGTGATGATCCATGCATACAATGAGTAGTGGTCAAGTCAAGGTAACTTGCATTTCTATCACGTCAATCAAATTTTGACAGTGAGTATATTCAAAAGTCCTTTGTTTTCACAATTTTTTATCATTGTTAACTTTATTCACTTTATTGTGCAGAGTTCACAATACTGTCTACCTAACACTGAACTTGTATTTAAGATCTTTTGCTCAGCTTGTTGCCCAAAGCCAGAGGTAAAAAATGCTTTGGAGCTGTCTACTTTACTATTAATCTCAGGCAGACTTTTTTTGAGATATAAGGAGTAAGACTTTTTAAAACTCACATATAATTCTTTTAGCCTGAGAACATCTTCTGTGGACAAAGATATCTAGTTATATTCAGTGTATACAAGTCAAATATTGAGTGAAAATGAACCATAAAGAAATTTATTTTAAAACAACTCTCTCAGAAAGGTATAATTTCACCATTTATTGAAGATAAAAACATTTGCATATTAATGAAATGGGTGTGCTTGTTTGTTTAACACATACAACCCAAAGACACAACAATTTGGTATTTACAATGTGAGGAATAGAGTTAGGAGTGTATAAAGTCTTTCTTTTTGTAAGCAAAATATGGCTTTCTATAAGATCAAAAATATTTTCTGTTAAGTAAAATTATGGCAGCCCATAACATACATTTGTCCATAATTTAGGATAAAGCTCTCAGACAGTACTTCTGGGGGTGTGTGATATGACACACTGCACACACAAAATGGCCTGTGTCATGGCCAAGGCTACAGTGAAGTTACATACTGTAACATGGCCATTCACTTCCATAAACATTTCAGATTTATTCCATGTTTGAATTTTAATTAATTTGTAGTCATATTCAGAAACATTTTATTGTTGCAATTTTTTAACACCAATATTATCAGCCCCATAAAAAGCCATGACTTCCTTCAGTCTAAGAAATTTTTGCTGTAGACAAGAGGGTTTTTCTTAATTCTTACAACATGTTTTGATCATAAGCCTTCTCCTCCCCAAGCTCCTCCCAGACCCTTCTGCTCTTTCTCCCTACCCAATTTTGGGTTCTTTCTCACTATCTTTAAAAAACCCAAAAACTAACATAAAGCCAAAACAAAAAATTACAGACAGGCATGTACAAATAATCATTTTGTATTGTCCAGCTACTCCTGAGCATGTGGAATGTGGTTTATACACCCATCAGAACTCTGATTTTTCCCACTTTCAGTAGCTTTCAATTGCAAATAACTTCTTCTCTGGGGGAAGGACTTTGTGTCTGTTTGCCCTTCTTCATGCTAGAATTTTGTCTGACTTGAACCTTGCAGGTCTTGTGCATGCTGTCATAGTCTTTGTGAGTTCATATGTGCACCAGTCCTGTTGTGTCTGGAAAATATGATTTCCTTGAAGTTGTCTACCACTTACTGCTCTTACAATCTTTCTGCCTCCTCTTCAGCATACATAGTGAGCCTTGAGGGGGAGGTTATAATAAAGGCCTCCCATTTTGAGCTAAATGCATGAAAGTCCCTCACTCTTTGCTAATTATCCAGTTGTGAGTCTCTCTGTTTATTACTATTTGCAGGAAGAAGTTTTTCTGGTGAGAGTTGAGCAGTGTATCCATCTATGGGTATAAATATTTCATTAGGAGTTGTTTTATTGTGGTGTTCTTTAATAGAATAATAGAAGTAGGTTTTCCCTTACTACTTATGTTATCAAATGTGGAAAAAGGAAGATGGTGTTTAACTAGAAGGTTCACACCTACTGACTATGATTCACAGGTACTGGAAGGTGCTAAACACAGCAAAGGAAGAGAAAATCAATTGTCAGTCTTATCTAGCTATAAACCCTGCAAGCTACAACTTGGTCCTTCAAGCCACATATACACTGGTGAAACAGTGGAACAAATATGGGAGAAACCAACTACTTTTAAAACTTGGATTTAAAATCCTCTCCATGAGCTACAACTTATAACTGAAACTGTTACTATGCCAAGAACCCAAGAGTAGATAGATTGTAGGCTCTAGGGGGAAATAGTTTTAAAATGTTATAAATAAAATACCAGGTAAATATATTAGAAGTTATTGATGTCTAGGAAATGGGAAGCTAACAAAATTTTTACAATATTAAAAGAGCCACACTAGGCACCTTATTTGGACCCAACTCTTCTTACAGGAACTGTTATCTATATCAGTATCTCAAGTGTGATGCTGTACTATAATTTTGTAAGATGTAACCATTGGGATAGAGATGGCTCAGTGGCTAAGAAAATTAGCCAGAAGACCCAAGTTCAGTTCCTAGCTCCCATGTAATGTGATGACTCACAACCATCTACAACTCCTGTACCAGGGAACCTGGTACCTTCTTCTGTCCTTGAACACACACAATGCAAAGATACACATATAGGCAAAATAATATCTACAGAAAATATAATTTGAAATGAGATGTCACTATTGTGGAAAGTGTTCACAGATCTTTGCTTTCTCTCCCTTTCTTTTATTTTTTTCTTCCTTCTGCCCCTTCTCACCTCTTCTCTCTCCTTTATGTTTTATTATTTTACTTATAATGGATCATATTATATAATTCAAATTAAACTAAAACTCATGACCCTCTTTTCTTAACCTCCCAAGTTCTGCAGTGGCAAGTATACATCCCATTGCCAGGCTGTGCTTTTATGTACTTACACACCCATACTAATCTACAATAATGCCTAAATGAAAGATTATTTAAAATTAAATTAAAAAGTTAATGGCACACAACAAGTTTTTCTTTATGATTTGAATTTTGTTTTTAACTAGAAAATGTGCATGTACACACAAAGGTTCATTCAGCAACAATCAAAGTTAAAATAATCATTATCTGGCTAAGTAAAAAAAAAGAAATTCACAGAAGCAGTTACATGTTTCTTATTATCTATGGAATTTAGAAAAAAGCATATAAAATAAAAAAAACATATAGATTCTTTATATTTCTGTTACTGTGCTAAAATAGAAGCTCATAGAAGAGTTTGTTTTGACTTATGTTTCCAGAGGAAGAGCATATAACAGCACAAGAAGTGTGGAAGCAAGAGACCTGAGTAGGAATATAAAAGGCCATATCTCAAACATATACAGGAAGTAGATAAATAAAAGGAAGTGTTGTTACCCATGATCATGCATACACACATCCAAAATTGGAAGACAAGTCCCTATTTCTGAAAACGTCATGGGCAATAGACACAGAGTCCAGTGTTGGTATAATGTTCTTTTGGAATGTATATACCTTACCCTTGTTCATTGAAATGCTGATTTCTCTCCCCCAGTCTCTGGTTTTAATCCGGACATTGCATTGTGATACTTATTCTAAGTATCACCTGTCTCAACTTTGTGTAAACATGCCAAAGTAAAACAACCAACCACAATGTTGAGCAATGGAGAGAAAGGAGTAGGAGGGAGAGGGGAGGATCCAGAGGAGAGGAAGGAGTGGAAGGCAGAGGAGGAGGAGAAGTGGCAGGAGAGAAGCTGGGAGAGCAGAGGCTGGAGGAAAGGTCTTGGAATGATGTGGAGAAAGGAATCGGACCTAAGATATCACTAAAAGCAAGTATAAAGGGTAAAATCTAAATGGTAGGAACTATGCATGCAGGCTTGGTGGTTTAGGATGGAGTAAGTATTGCCCAGTATTGTGTTCTAGGTTAACTAAATAAATCCAGTCTCTGTGTGATGATTTGGTTATACAGCTGTTTAGGATTAACCACAACTTTACTAAAAGATATACCAATAGAAAATATTAACTGCCAAATACAACAAATGGTGCCTAAAGTGGGGCTTTACTAAAAGATATATCAAAAGTAAATATTAATGACAAATACAACAGTCCAGAGACCCCTGAACTGGAACTAATTGGAGTTCCTTTTCTTTGAGGACTGGAGTTTATGATATTAGAGAGCACCATGCTAACTTCCAAAGGTTGGAAACAACCAGTAGTCCTATCCAGTTATGATGCATATGAACCACAACAATGTTCATCATGACACCACAACTCTAGGGGCATAGTAGTGGAATACATAGCTTGGTGGTATGCCAGAGCCCACAGGCAGAGTTCAACAGCTCTTGAGTTGGGAGTGAGGATTGAAAGAAAACTTAAAAAAAAAAAAAAACAAGACACTACACATGAGATCTGTTAGAGAGGGCTTCTTGTAGAAACCAGACACTCAGTTTATTCCACAGTCCCTTTTTATAGTCAGAGCAAAGCACTTTGATACAATCAGGTTCATCAAGAAGTCAAACTTGTTTACCTTGACCACCTGTGTGATCCTTAAACAAAAGGAAGTGAACTCGGCAACACATCCTGTCTATCCCTGTTTCCAGGTGAAGGCCAGGGTGAAAACATGCTTTTCACTGAGAGCTCAATAATAAAAGCATCTGGAC